GGAAGCCCGAAGCCGCGTCTCGATCGGGAATAGTGCGCTAGGGTTTTCTTCGCTGCCTCCGATTCTGATTCCGATTCCGATTCCGATCGGAAATGTCTGAAACTCATTCACCGCCCCGAACCTCCGCCTATCTCGACGCGCTCTCTCAAGCGATCCACAAGAAGCTCCAGCGGGTTCGTTTTCCTCCATTTTCTCGCTCCTTTCTTAGCATAGTCGAATGAATGAGTAATCGATTGGTTCTCTCTGTCTCTGTGATGATTGTGGTGCAGGCGCTGGCTAATTCCTCGCAGAGGCGCAATTTGTTGCAAGAGCTGTTCGCGGACATTGCTTTAGAAGTCGATGACCGAGCCAAAGGCGAGTTTGCTTTGCAATTAAAACGATGCATTATTTCAATCTGATGTTTTGTCTGTGTGATTGATTATAGAGTGCGGAGATTCAGATAGCTTATTGGAGTTAAATTGTTTGTGCTTTAAGTATATATAGTTCTCTTGCTTAATATGAATTTTTCATCGAGGTTTACTAGCATGTTGGTGGCTAAGAAAATTGGATTATAATTTTGTGCTAATATAATTAGCTGCTCTTATGTTATGGTGCTCTCTGATTGCTGGATATGGTTGATCGCATGTGATTGGGAGTTTTTTTTTTTTTTTTTTTTTTTTTTTTTTTTTTTTTTTTTTTTTTTTTTTTTTTTTTTTTTTTTTTTTTTTTTTTTTTTTTTTTTTTTTTTTTTTTTTTTAGAGAAATGAGTAGGATAATAGAGGATGAAATTCACAACTAATGTGTGGATATTTGAATCCAAAAAACAACTTCGTTTTCTTATGTATATATTATTAATTTTTATTTGTTAAGCAAGAATTATAAAGTGCATGTTTTTTATTTTTCACAATAACAGGTGTAATTGTCAACAAGGAAGAAGATGTCATTTCTCCCGCCGAGGATATTAATGATGGTCCGTTATGCTTCTACGACGTGCTTGCGGATTATTTTGTGCGAGTATCTGAGAGTGGAAAACCTGTCGTTGACTTGATTGTTCAACTTTGGAGCCAATCGTTTGCTTCACATATCTTTGCCCTCCTGTTTCATAAATGGGTATGTCCCTATGTGAGCTTGTGTCTACATTTTGTCTTGTTGCTTTCTTGATGACGTTTTTCCCTATGTGTGGTTGTATGATCTTCCGTCACTGGTTTTGGATTTTAGCATTCAGATGAAAAAAAAAAAAATGAGTTACTCGAGTAGCTTTACCAGTTTGGATTCTATTAAAAAGGTAAGTATTTGAAGTGCATAAGTATCATTGTTTCTTTCATGATCACCATGTCCTCGATAATTAAAGCAAATAGAAGCCAAGTCAGACATTCTTTTAAACTGTTGTAACTATGACTTATGGTTAACATGATCATCCGAAGTAGAAGTTTGTCCATATATGAAGCACAGAGACTGCTCCTTCTAGAAGTGTCGGTTACACTTCCCACAATGACACCTTTATGACACTGCTCATCAGGTGTCCAAGAAAAATATTTTTAAAACACGGTTTGCACACTCGACCAACATTCCTAATTTCCAATGACTTGACACTTTAAGGTTGTCACTTATAAAAAGATAAAAATTATTTTATTAAAAATATTCAAGACAAAAAATATTAAGAATTATGTCCATCACACTTCCTTTGTGAACATTGCTTTCTCTATTCAGTCCTTTTCTTCATTATTCATCGCCATTGCTTGTTCCTTCCTTTCCCTCCTTGCTCTTTGCTGTTTGTCACTTCTCTCCTCCTAGACCTGTCCTTGTTTTTGGCTCCTTGCTATTAATCACGTACCTGTCCTTGTTTTTGGCTTCTTGCTATTCATCATTTGGTTCCAGAACCGATAATGCTTTCTCTGTTGACAGCCCAAGGTTCCAGAACAATGAACAAAGTGTTCCAGTTCAAGAACACCTCTGCAGTAGCCCTAGGTTTTTTACTTGTAACACCAACAGTTCCACAACCCCCAAGGTTCATACCTTACTCCCATTCTCGTTCCATGTTGTTTGTGGGCTGCTTGCAAATTTCCATTACTTTCTTGTGCAATTTTCTGTTGTATAGTTATGCCTTGCCATGGGGTTTCCATCATTTAGCTTAAATAAGCACCAAAAAGCATCCTTCATTTTTTATTAGAAACCTGCATTTGGTTCTTGAAAGTTGATTCGTATTTTGTTTCTTTTTAATGTATTTCATGGTGTTTATCACTAACTAAATTATTTTGATACAAATGCATGCATGTGTGTATGTGCACTTGCATGTGTTTATAGCTGTATCCCGGTGTCTTATATTTTGGACATTGTACATGTCCAGTGTCTGTTTCATGTCTATAGATTTGGGGTGCTTTTGGAAGAGATTATTTTCATATTATTTGAACTTATCTTATGGCATGAACACTTGTACAAGTGTTTGGGAGAGCGTATGAAAAGAGCTTATGATATGACCATAAATTTTTAATTTGTTTCAACAAACTCTTGAATTGATATGATAAAAACATTTTATACATAAGCACTTGTATGATAAACACTTGTTCATTAAGTGCCTAATTAAGCCATTTACCCAAATGGACTGTTGATACTGTTTCATTTGAACTGCACTTCTCCAAGCAGTAATATAGTGCCATTGCATTTCTAGTTTTGCCTTTTGGTTCTGTTTGTTCTAAATCTGTCTCGTTTAAAGCTTTTTAACATAAACTAATCTCTCCTTAGTCCGTATATTTCCAATTATCAAGTTTTTCAAACAAAGGTTAAAAAAAATCCATAATTGATATTTGGCATGCATTCAAAAAGAGTTTTGCTGTATCCTCCTAATAATATTCAGTGTTTAATATCTTAAGAACATCAAAAACATTTGGCACTTTATTTTCTTAGAATAATATTGGGATATCGGTAAGGATGAATTAGAACTATTCTTAGAATAATATTTGTAGATTGAACGTTAAAGACAGACATTAATGATAAACTTACATATTTGATACTGGCAATGGGTTTTTAATATCTGAGAAATAAAAATCAGCTTCTACTTGTGACATGTGCAAAAAAAATTGTCCCAAGCTGAATGGTCATTAACAGGAAAAGGATAGTATCTATGCCTCAGAGCCTATACTTTGGGCATTCAATTGCAGCCTTTTTAGCATTCATAATTTCATTGCTTGCCTTGAAGGCTAAATGCCCATTTTGAACAAGAAAATTGATTCTATTTCATGGTCAGTCACATTTCAAACTTGTATTTAGCAGTTCAAAATAATTTAAACCTCTCTCTGTAATCTCTAAAAGGAAAATGAATTTTTCTTATTTCGTGAAATATTCTGAACATAAAATGTCCATTTTCAAAGTGACAAGCATGGCATAACAATTTGATACACTACAAGTTGAAATTTTTTTACTCATTTCATAGTATTGTTCTGTATTTCATTGATACCAATCAGAGATTGTTCATTTTGTTCATCTCAATTCTGGTCCAGTTCTATCAGGTGCCTTTCTGACAAATGAACATTTTCAATTTTTGTATGTGATATTCTGAAGCATGCAAATTTTCTCTGAAATTGTGCTATTTCCTTTTCAGTTGGTTCATGAAAATATGAAATATATAAACATTTGATATATATATATATATATAT